GTGGGTGTCGCTGTGTTTGCCGTTGCAGTTGTGGTTGTCGTGGTTGTGGTGGTTTTGGTGGTGGTTGTTGCGGTTGCGGTGCTTGTTGTGGTTGTTGTGGATCTCTTCGTCGTGGTTGTTGTGGTTGTGGCTCTGGTTGTGGTTGTGGTTGTCGTTGCGAGTACGGTTGCGGTTGCGGTTGTTGTTGTTGTTGTTGTTGTTGTTGTTGTTGTTGTTGTTGATGTTGTTGTTGCTGTTGTTGTTGTTGTTGCCATGGCTGTTGTTCTCGTTGTTGTTGCTGTTGTAGTTGCTGCTGCTGTTGTTGTTGTTGTTGTTGCCGGGCTGTTGTCGTGGTTGTTGTTGCTGTTGCTGTTTTTGTTCAAAAAACGTCGTCGTAGTAGGCCCAGCGACAATGACAGCAGCATGGTCATAATTACGGTCTTTGCCATCATTGACCTCGTGAAGCAGTTGTCGTCGACGTCACGGAATAGTTCTGAGAGTGTTCGGAGCCGCGGTGGTGTGGGCGGTAGCCGTGCTAGTGCTAGCGATAATTATTAGTAGCAGCAGCAGCATAGCAAATCGGACGTTGGTAGATCGAAAGTCAACCACGCAGATGCAGGCCCTGATCTGGTAATGTAGGGGCCTTAATAACTAGATTAGGGCTTAGGGGCCCATTATACTATAATTGTAACAAGGACCCCCCAAAGTAGCATAGGTAATTTAATTATTAAGGACCCTATATTAGTTTGGGGCTCTCTGCCTATCAATCTTGACCGCCGATTTCAAGCCTTCGACATAGCCCCCTACCCCTTAAACCCTAAACCCTAAACCCTAAACCCCTAAACCCCTAAACCCTAAGCCCTAAACAAGCCTTCGACATCGCCGACGCCGTCAAGCCGTCGCAGTGCGATCGCGTCTCACGCAGCTGCTCCTGGCAGGAAGCGAGCCGAAATCCGCAACTCACGAGGCCCCAGATCCCACAAAGACCTGGACTCAAAGGGGTTTGGGGTTTAGGGTTTAGGGTTCAGGGTTCAGGGTTCAGGGTTTGGGATTTAGGGTTTAGGGTTAAAGTCAAAACATAAATGTCCGCGGACTCTCTGTGGTTCTGCTTGAACTTCGAGGTTCAGGGCTTTGCACGGCTGTGCTACTAAACTAGTCCCACCGACACAGCCATGTTTGGCTATGAAGCAGTAGCGGGCGTGGGCGATGCACTCTAGGACCCGAACCTAGGTCTCCGAACGATCTACCTATAGTCTCCATTGTAGTTCCTTTTTTGGTTGACTAGTTTTATGGTTAAGTTAGGATCCTATAATCTATATTTGGTTAGCCAAAAAAAAGGAACCACAGTGGAGACTATAGGTAGCCACCAAGCAATCTGCAGGCCTAGGGGCCTGGAACCACACAGCCTAGAAGGGGGTTTAGGGTTTAGGGTTTAGGGTTTAGGGTTTAGGGTTTAGGTTACGTTTAACTCTAAACCCTCCAGCCCAAGACTAAAACCCAAAGCGCAAGGAACCCTTGGTGGCCGGTCCTGGCACTCCTGCATCCATCCGTGGAGCTGCTTCTGTCGCTTTAGCACGAACGCCTCGTGCTCTTTCCGGGCTGTCCTCTCCAGCGCAGAGCTTTCCGTGTAGGATTCAAGAAGGCTCCTAAACTGCATGAAACGCATCTTACGTGACACAATCGGAATACAGAAAACCAGTTACTATGGGACCAGGCAGTCATCCCATGAATATTTAGGAATCTGATATCAAGATCCTTTTGCGGCTTTTCAAGCGGGCCCTAACTATCAACTCCCAGTCCTGAATGACTTTCGGGAGACTTCGGTGGCCTCCGCCAAGGTCGCGCCCAAAGATGCCTCGGCCTCATCAGCCACTTTAGGATTGGGGTTTAGCCGTTAGGTTCAGGGTTTAAGTTCCAGGGCTTTGGATTTAGAGTCAGCTTTCAGGCTTCGGAACGATCAGCTGTAGGGTGTAACTTGTCGCCGCGAGGTTTTATTGCCTGGGACTGGGGGCATTTGTCTCCCGACGAAAGATGGGGGAATGGGCCGGTGCCCCTGATGGGGTGCAAGATTCAGGATTCAACCCTAAACACCGTAAACACTAAACCCTACGTAAGCCCAAACTCTGAAGGGGAATGTCAATTGCCGCATACGCATGCTCTGCATGTGTCATCATTGTAGAATCGCTCGTGGAGCCCAGTGCACGTCTGTAAAGACTGCAAGGACCTCTTTTCAAGAGCTTCTGGCATGGCCTCGAGCATTGCCCTGAAACACTCCCGAGAACAAAAGTGAGCCAGCAAGAACCTCCTCCCTGCCGCACCTGCTTCAAAAGGCTGGAGCACTTTGTCTCCAGCTCCTGCAAGCAGGATCATGTCTTTCTGCATCAAAGTTTAGGGTTTAGGATGTTGCACCTTAATGGTTCATGGAGTTCGGGGCTTCAAAGTGAAACATCCTACGGCTTAGCTAGGGGTCTGGGACTTTAGGGCTCTACAGCTTCCAGGCCCAGACCTGAGACTAACAGTGTCAGACCCCGCACGCAGACCGAGCACTCCTGCAAAGACACGTTACAAGTAGGGTTTACGGTTTAGGGTTTAGGGTTTAGGTTTTAGGGTTTAGGGTTTAGGGTTTAGGTTTTAGGTTTTAGGGTTTAGGGTTTGCAACTTTGCCGAACTCAGAAGTAAAGTACTTCCTGATCCAGACAAGAAGGGCACGACATTAACCGCATGTCCTGATCCAGACAAGAAGGGCACGACATTAACCGCATGGGCACATTCAAATAAACACAAGTGCCAAACATCCACCCTGGAGACCTTTCTGAAACACCTTGCTGTGAAGCCCTGGAAATATACATCGCACTGGAGAAGACAAATGCAGTGTAGCGTAGAGACATCGTTGTAGAAATGACCATGACGAGGAGTTTCAAAATGATGATGACCACCACCACCACCACCATCATCATCATCATCATCATCATCCTCATCATCCTCATCATCATCATCATCATCAACATCATGATGACGGCAATGTTGAGGACATGCTGGCAGGATGACGAAATAGAGCAATGGCTTTTGTCATTTGTTAATGAAGGAGAACATGTAGTAGCAGCAGCTTCCCACAGGATATTTTCAAAACCCAGCACGCTAAAACCGAAACCGTGGTTGTTCTATATTATGGTTGCAACGCTAACTAGAAGTTCGCCTCGCGCTTTCCGCTTCCACGCTTCTGCGCGGCCCCAGGTTTAAACACTCTCTCATGCTGGAGCCTTGATAAGCCAAGTGACAACCACAATTTTGACTCAACATGAATTAAGGTTTAGTGTTTAGGGGTTTAAGGTTTAGGGTTTAGGGTTTAGGGTTGGTCATACTTTCCAGTTTGGGGTCGATAACGGGCTACTATACTGAACTTGACCACAACTAATGGCCCTTGCACTCGCCCTTGCTCGCGCTTGCACGGTGCCGGTACGGAGGTCCTAAACCTACATCAAAGACATTGCACCGTTAGTCTGCGGTAAAGGTGCGGGAGTTTAGAACAACTAACTAACAAAAACCCTCCACCCTCCGTTGGCCTCGGCGAGACCGGGGCGCGATCTTCGCTCCAGCTCCTAAAGGAAGGAAACCACGTCGCTTCAGGAATCGTCTCGGCTTCAGGGCCTAGGCCGAGGGCTCAGGGTGTAGGGGTGCTTGGACAAAAGCTGGAGAGCAACTTTCTTCAGTCAGTAACAGAAACATTGGAAAGACACAAGAAGTTCGAAAAAAAACAAGCCCCAGCACCAACACTAGCTACCGGGCGTCAGCCAAGCCTGTTGGATATCGTAAGTGGCCTGGCATTTTGTTGGTCGCTGCATCTTTTCGTTAGCCGATCTTTGGAACGCTGTCGTTGGAAACAATGCTAACGAACAGGTGTGACATAAGCCACAGGTCCAATACCGCGTCACTGGATCCAGTAAGCCTACGTCAAGCTTTGTGAACTATCTAGATGTAGAGAGCTGCTTCCTGCTGCACTTCCACAAGGTCAAGCTTTTCATGTGCTGCGTTTGAGGGCATACACCAAGACAACCCTCTTGGATGGTCTCTGGACTTGGCAACCAGGATATGACTGTAGGTATCCACAAAAGACGTTTTAGCGTGCCCAAGGAACATACGTACACACTTTTGATGTCATTCACATTTCCTCTTGCGATATGCAAGGGGCATACGTGCAGACTTGGGAGATTGGTGCGCATTTGGCTACGCTGGCGTATACTTTAGCAACTTCGAGTGTATCTATAGAATAATCGAATTAGCCAAGCATGAACGGACGGTCCCGTATTTCAGGGCCAGCCGATTTTCAATATCATTTGCCCATGCTTCGACCTATGTTTTCTCGATTTCATGGTTTATTCTTCCAAGGTCTCCCCTAAGATACCTATACCTCAAACTTTCCTGTCCAGGCCTCCAAGCGAAAGTACACATTCACACACCTTCGTGAATGTGCGGCCCAAGGATCTGAGGACGAACCATGAAGGGAACTCTGGAAAGCCCTATTCGCAACTAGATTTTTGTCTTCTTGCTTCCTGCCAAGCCAAAGTCTTGCTGCAATTGCAGCATTTCTGCGACCTTGCCTCGCTCCTTTAAGAATTTGATCAAGTTTCGAGCAGAATCCACAGTCTTGTTGTGATCTTCACCATGTTTCCCCCGACAGCAGTCCAGCTCCTCGCGAAAGAGCTGCTCTGCTTCGTCCCAGCTGCCCTTCTTCTCCAGCAAGGTGGCCAAGCTGTAGATGATGAGCAGAGTATCCGTATGCTCGTTGCCAAGCTTGGCCCGGCTCCCCTCAAGGGCCTCGCGGAAAATGAGTTCGGCCTCCTCAAGTCGCCCCTGGGCATAGAGCAGCCCTGCCAAGTTGCTCACAATGGAGAGCGTGTAGGGGTGCTCGTTGCCAAGCAGGGCCCGATAACCCTCGAGAGCTTCGCGGACGAGGGGCTCAGCTGCTGCCCAATTCCCCTTGGCCAGAAGAAGCGAAGCCAGGTCTTTGACGCTTGTCAGTGTCAACCGATGATCGTTGCCAAGCTTGGCCCGCCTCCCCTCAAGCGCCTCGCGGAAAAGGGGCTCGGCCTCCCATACCCGCTTCTGGGCGTTGAGCAACCTGGCTGCTCACGGAAAAGGGGCTCGGCCTCACCAAATCGCCCCTGGGCTTGGAGAAGCGAAGCTAGGTTGTTGATGCTGGTCAGCGTGTCCGGATGCTCATTGCCAAGCTTGACCCGTCGCACCTCGAGGGCCTCGCGGTTGAGGGGCTCAGCCTCCTCCAACTTCCCCATTTCCTGGAGCAGCGAAGCTAGGTTGTTGACGCTCGAGAGCGTGTTGGGGTGATCATTGCCAAACTTGGCCCGGTTGCCACGCAAAGCCTCACGGAACAAGGGCTCCGCCTCCTCCACCTGGCCTGAAGTCAAGAGAAGCTGTGCAAGGTTGTTGATGATGGGGAGGATGTCCATGTGATCATCACCTAACTTAGCACGTCGTCCCGCCAAGCATTCCCTCATGAGCGTCTCAGCTTCCTCGTACAGGGCGCGGCCACCTAACCTGCGCCCGAGCTCAAACATGCAGAACAGTGTGGCTTCGTCCACATCGCCCCTGGTATCGCGAAGGTGGGCCAGGCGCAGTCTCAGCAACCGCAAAAGGCCGTCTGCTCCAGCGGAGGCGTTCTGCACCTCGCCAGAGGTATTTTCCACCCGCAGCACAAAGACGTCACGATCGCGATGTACCGGGCGACCTCTGTAGTCCTCGCCCAGGCCGATGGGGCGCTGCTTTCCAGTGTCAGGGTCCTGCACGATCTTTTGGATCATGTCCGGCGTTTGCCGCTCAAAGATGTTGAAGGCCACTGCTTTGGGTGCCAGAATAGGAACACAGAATGCAGCACGGTGGCCCTGCGGATTTGCATCACCCCATTCCCGCGCAACGCGTTCAGCTTCAGCATCGCTGGCGCACAGCGGGCTACCGTTGCTGTAGTTGTTCAGCAAAATTTGAAGACGCGAGCCCCATACTGCAGACTCATGGCGGGTGCCATAAACTCCCTTTCCAAAGTGCGCACGTGAGTCCAGCAGGGACGCAAAGAGCTCAGCAGCCGTCTGCTCAGGGTTTGTTACGTTCAGGAACGCAAGCTCGTTGGTGTAGTGATAAACGATGATGAGGTCATTGTCGTCTCGCGCGGCCTGGAGGTCTCGCAGATCCAAGGCATGGCACCAGATCTGCACAGGCCCATCTGATGCATCGTACCTGAAAACTTCGTCGAACGCTTCCTTAGTATATTTTGTACCTTCGAAGAGCTTTCCCTGTAGGTAAGAGCCTGCAAAATATCGGGAGAGCTCATCCTGCTCGAGTCCCGCGATGCCAGGTGCCACTTGCGTGCCCATGGCGTAGTGGAATGCGCAGGACAGCTTGTCGCGCTGTTCCTGCGGGAGGCTTCTCACAAAATCATTGAAGTCATCTTGGCCAGCCTTCACCCAGAGCTCTGTGAGGTCGGAGGCACCGGCTCCCATTGCGATGTGCGACTATGACCTCCCTGCAGGGCTAGAGAAGTTGCCCAGCACAAAACCCTATGATTACGAGTTCACAGTCTTCGCCTTCAATGCCTCCGGAAAGAGCTTGTTCCAGGGTTCTGGGGAGTATGAGGTTGTTGGGAGCTGGGCCAAGGCGTCCTCGCGCAAGGAGGACATCTGCAGCTGCACGTTTCGCGTCACCTGCACGAAGGGACATGAAGACAAAAGACGTGGATGTCCGGATTGAGGTTTGCGTACTGTGTCCCGTACGGGATGCAAGGCTCAAGCATGTAAGACTTGGGAACAGTACGCTGAAGTACACTACTGCAATATCCTACTAACTATATTATATGTGACGACTGAGGGTTTCATCGGGTATATTTTCAGGAGCTAGATCATCATCCCATGTCTTTGCATCCTTGGTCTGCAGCTCAAGGCTCAGAGCTTAGGGCCCCGGTTGCAGGCAGAGGTGGAAGGCACCTCCGCTTCGAGGGCAGCCATGTTTTCACCCAGCTTGGCGTTGAGCTCCTGGACGGCGGGCTCGGGATGTATTGCCACGATTGGACTCTTGCGGATTTCTTCTGCACAGCCTGCACCTCTAAATTCGTCACGCTCTTACCTCAATGTATCCCACCAGTCTGTCTGCGCAGTGGCCTCTGGTTTCCACGAGTTTCGGGCCCTGCCTGTAAGGGTTTTGAGGGGCTGATGATACATGTGATGTGAGCTTGCACGTGCAGTGTTGGGCCACTGGATGTTGCCATGATTGGCCGGAACGAATGTCCAGTGCTTCTTGCAATGTTGAGTCTTGGAGGCATCTACGGCAATCTCCACACGACCCGTGCATGCCTGAACCTCAGGCCCCGAGGCACCAGAAACGAACCCAGAGACTCCAATATCCCTTAATTAAGGAATATAGCTTAAATCATATTAAGGGTCCTACTAGAATTTAAGGAATATTGCTTAATTAAGGAATATACCTTAAATCATACTAAGGATCCTAGTATAATTTCAGGAATATTCCTTAAATCAGATTAAGGATCCTACTACAATTTAAGGTATTATTTCTTAATTCAGGGATGTTGGAGTCTCTGGGAGTTGCCCGGCGGGGTCCGACATCTTCACCAGCAGCTCGGCACCGAGCTTTCGGTCTCCTCCGCGGGCTCAGGCGGGGAGCTTAGGGTTTAGGGTTTAGAGTTTAGGGTTGAGGGTTGAGGGTTTAGGGTTGAGGGTTTAGGAGTTTAGGATTTAGGGCCGAGAGTTCAGGTTCAGCTTCCACGCAACTTCGGGGGTTTGGCGCCCGTGGTTTCTTGGGGGTATTTTAAGCAGCTCTGGCCGTCAGTGCGGACCGGAGGACAGCTCCCAGAAAAAAGCTTGCCTACAACCCGCAGCCCGAGCCTGAAGACTCAAGCCAAGCCTTCAACCCGAAAATCTGTCTGGTGCTTAGTAGGGAATGGGGGAATGGGTTTTAGGGACTACTATAAGGGACCTTAAGGGACTAGCATAGGGATCCATTCCCCCCTTCCCTACTAAGCACCAGACAGAAATCTATCCACAACATACAAACCTTGATCACAAACAGTGACCTCAGGCCCGCACTCTCAAAAATGAGCGCCCCAACCACTTTTACATAATTCACATACATGTAAGCCCAGAAGTGCCGAGCATCACATCGCCAACCCCAGAACCCCGAAACTCGAATCCTTCAAATCTCGCACCACTGATACTCTAAACCCTGATACTCTAAACCCGAAACCCCTAAACCCCTTCTACCACAATGCCGGGAAAAGAACCGTCCCGCCTTCTCGGTAGCCACAGGCCATGGCCTCCTGGGCCGCTTCGAAGCGAAGCCAATGCTCCTGGTCACATGAAGACGATAGTGACAACTAGACTATGTTATCTTGTATCATATCATAATATCGCATACTTAAATTCTAACATGTTGTATGATGTCATATTGTATCATACCATCGAATATTATATCATATTTTATTCTGAGGCTTCCGAGCCTTGGCTTTGGGCCCTTTGCCTGGGGTGAGGGTTGATGGCTAACTACAGGGCCCCCGAAAAAGCACATACTCAAGAATTAGGAGTGATATCCCGTATAATCCCCCGTATCATGAAGCCCAGTAAGGTTTGGATATCCCGACAAAATGCTTATGCTTACGTCCTTGTTGCGTCCCTTAAAACTATGTGAAATATGTGGCTCGCTTGCGGTGCGAAGGGGGCTTCGGGCTCGAGGCCTCGGGCAAACGGTTCGAGGGATAGGCGCACTTGAGAAGTCAGCGTTTTGCACATATTGGGTTGAGGGCCAAATCTCAAAAACTCGCAAGCATAGCAACCCCTGGCCTAACCCAAAGCTTCGCACCGTGCTGAAGCCTGCAAAGAAAATCAAAACGAACCCTTTGCTTGCGCCCATGCAACGCATCGCAATCTTTCTGTCAATGCTTATGGATGTTCCAGTTTGCCAGCATGGAGCGTACGTCTGACCGTATCACAGAACAGCGCTCAACGGCACAATTCCAGGTGTGGTCCGCCTTCAGTCGTCGCAGCTCCTCTTGCAGCGAAGCGCGCAAGCCATCAGGGGTCACTCGCAGCTTGTTACTCAATCTCTGGATGCATGCAGATCGCCCTAGGCCTTCGGCAGTCAATCGCTTGTATCGATTCTGGTGTCCGACGCTTCTGGAGAGATCCTCACGAGCTGACAAGGCATCCCGCGGGCTCATACTTAGAACAGTTCTTGCCGCTTGCCGTTTCACTCGGAGGCCGGCATGCAAGAGCATCCTAAGGACATTTTTTGAAGGCATTGAAGCACTGATAGTGAGCCGCGCCTGTAGCTTTGTAGTACGTACCCGACAGGCTATTCCTTCAACCGCCAGGAAGTCACGCAGTGCTTGCAAGATGTATGGAAATTTCTGCCCGATGATGAGACGAATATGAGTTGGATACCCGATTGATATACATCCCTCGGCATCAAAGAAACCAGTAAAGTATGCCCAAGATGGACACCAGACCGATGGCGGTGGAACATTCTTGAGTCTCCTTAATGTGGCGGCTGCAAGAGCCCTTGATTCGAAGGTCTGAGGCCATTCTGCCGCCATGAGCAACTGCGACCGCTTGCACGATGTGGAGGACGCAAGCAGCGAAGCAGCATGCCTAGCCTGCTTGCCATACACACGCCATCTCAAAACGGGTCGCTGCGAGCCTGCCATGGCACGTGTGCAGTGGATACTGCCCCCAAACGCAGACCTAAACAAGAGAAGTACTAAACTGCCGGAAGCAGACTGCTCAACAATTAGCGCTGGTGTCGCACACCTCACATGGCCAGATACGCAGCCATCCCCATCGAAGAAACCAGCCAAGTACTCCAGAGTGTGCTGTGGGAGCTTCTGGCAAGCACGAGCTGTTGTTCGAAGAGGCAGGCTAAACTTGATTCCAGACGCAGTAAAATGCGTAATTGGCGGCAGCACAAGGCGCCGCTGCAGTGCTCGGAGTCGGCTGAAACGGCGATTGAGCTGCTGCAAGGTTTTCGTGCCTGTGGAGAGTGTAGCGGAGGACTGAGCCATGTCGTCGGGCAGAGGCTCAAGACTGGATGGTTCGGCCCCCTGGCATCTTCTATGTTGTATGTGCGGAGAGCGTCTTCAGGCTCCGGTCAGCCCTGTGCCCGTTGTCATCGATTACTGAATGCGTGAACATGACCAAAAGCCTGCGTGGAGGACACTCGTGGAACAAGCTTGGAACACATTCGGCAGGGCAGGAAAGCTGCCCGTGTGCAAGCTGAATGCTTTCGGACAATCTGTCATGCTTGAACACAATGCACCTGTAGCTCGAGTTGAGTCTTGTCAATGCTCCCTGTCACCGAACCGCGCTCACGCCTCAGAGATCTCTAGATCAAATCCCAAATCCCACTTCAAACCGCTAACCCTGAACGCCTAGAGTTGACACTTTAAACTAAACTGCAGTCCCAGGACCCCAAACCCTGCCCTAAACCCTAAACCCCCTATCCCCACAAAACCCTAAACCCCTACTCTCTCCCAAAACCCTAGACCTTAAACCGCCAAATCCCACAAAAACCCGAAACCCTAAAACCCGACCCAAAATCCTTCACCTTACCTCGGACTGTAGATCGGATCTCCTTGGCTTCGGCGCAGGCTGCAGCCGCTTCGTCACGGCAGCCTCAATCTCGAGGTTCTTCTTGAAAGTTAAGGGATCCTTTTGCCATTGCGGCTTTTCAGGTTTCGGGTTGAGGCTTTAGTCCTTTAAGCTTGAGGCTTCATGTTTAGGGCTTTGGGCTTAGGGCTGTGCATTGGAGTTTAAACTGTCGGGTGTGGTGTGATTGAACCAGTTATGGGACTGAGCAGCTGGGTTTCTGTGCTGACTGGTTTATGTAATCCGTTGGTTTTGGTCCAGGAACTGTGCAGGCAGCAAGACCGGTAATTAGTAAGTAAGGCTCTGATTCCCAATACGGAAGGAATTATCGCTTCACAACTTGATCTACCTAGATCCCCCTGGCCTTTCTGTAGGGTCCGCCTGTTGACTTGGCTTTGAAGGTGCAGGAATGAATAGTTCAGGAGCTCGTTCTGAAACTCAAGCTGCCGACTCATCAGTCGGAAACTCCTGAATAAGTCCCTGAATCCGAGGCCAAACGGCCCGGAATGCACCCGGAGCCCTAAAACGCTGAACCCTCTCGAACCCTAAGCCCCAAACTACAGACCCCAACCCAAGCCGCCGCTGCAACGACCAAAGCTTTGTCTCGCCCAGATGCGGGCGACGCAGTCTCGCAGCGCGGCTTGCTCTTCCTGCCACCGGGCCTCCGAAGCTTCTTGAGAGAGTTGTGTAGCTAGGGCCATATGGGGCCATACAGGGTTCTGGGATTCTGAAGAAACAGTGCATCAGACTGTGAACAGATCTGCATAAGGTATACGAGTTTTGTAACTTGAGGGTCATGGGTTGCGATGAGTAGGGTCACTCAGGGAGTTCAAGATAAATGGATGCTTGGTGGT